TCTCTATCATAAATGAGAACACGCATACATTTCCAGTATTTCAAACAATTGCACACATTTCCTCTTCTTTTGGATCTGCCTTAATTTTGGCCCATTTTATTTATATTTCTTCTTTCTTTCTACCTGACACATAGGATAATGCTCTACACAGAGTTCACATCCAATAAATGTTAATTAACAGACAAATTTTTCTTGGTTTAACTCTAATCTCCATAGGGCTAGTGGAGTGGATCAGTTGCACAACCTGTCCAGCAAACGTCAGGCCCTGACTTCAAACTCCAGTACAGCCTACAGATGCTTAACTCTAATCTCCATAAGGAAGATCCTCTTTGTGTGTGCATGCGTGTGTGTGTGTGTGTTTGTGTGTGCATTTGTGTAAGGAGATGGTCATAGCAGTCACTATTGTTTAGGGAAATCAGTGGCAAAAGCAAATATTCATTTGAACCTGACATTTTCTCCTATAATTCAATGTTTAGAAACAGGAAAAATGGAAAACTAGTTATGCTTTATGTTGTACTCACTAGAAGTATGAAGGTTATATATAAATATGTATGTGCTATGGATTTTCCTAAGGTATTATTTTTTAAATGGCTTAGGTTATATAAAAGTCAATATGGTCAGAGAAGCCTCTAAAGTTTCACCTTAGACTTTATTGTGGATTCTGAATAAATTTCTGTTACATGTTAGTCTGTTTTACTGAATGACAAATGGGCTTGTAAGGAAGTTCACTTAAAATGGAACAAAAATAGGAGATTATTTATTTGCAACTTTAAATTTTTATTCCAAATATTCTTCTAATGCAAGAGCACTGAAAACAAACGTTTTTACATTTTTTTACCCTAACTCCATGGCTGATGATGAACATATTTGATGAAGAATACTTCACTTTAAGTGTCAGCTTTGAAGTACTTGCATGAAAGGTGGTGCACAATTAAAGTTGTTCTAATAGTTGGCTAAGCCGTGTACACAAGTAAAAAATTAATGGATGCATTTCAAATAATGATCCATTTCCTCTGGGTGTAATATATTTATTCATAGACTATTTCAGGGGTTGTTTAGAATATGAAATGTGAATGGATTATGATCCATTTTCCCTGAGATTCTAATGTGTTACTGCAAAATGGTTTCCATAAGTACTGTTCATAATGCCTGGAGAGTAGCTGTTTGTATTCTTAAATAGGGGTAACAAAAATTAGAAGAACAGATGCTCAAATGATTGATACTTAAGCTTTGTAGATATTTACACTTACTAACTCATAAATGTTAATATTTTCAGTTGAGTTAAGGAGGACAATTCAATGAAATACTGACATATAAGACAATTGCATTTAATAATAAAAATTTTTCATGTGCAAATATTCTCTTGAAAAACAGATTCCATATTTATTCTAGAAAAATTTTAAGGAACTTTCTAATGTCACCAGTATAACTAGAAATATATGGTCACTTAATTCATGAAGTTTAATGACATTTGTAATTTTAATTTAAGAGATATATTAAATACTGTGACAAGTAAGAGTGCTTCTGAGCTCCTAACTAGCATTTTAAACCATCCTGAAATGAGAGAGACTGCATACTTATTTGGGTATTTTTTTTTGCTTTTGTGTCAATTTCTGTCCTAATGTTTGTCTTCATAAGAAGTAAGATATTGACTTGCTGGTAGACGATTTCACACATGCAGTGTAGTTATTCTGCTTCTACTGTAAATTGAGAACCGTATCATAAACTTCTGGTGGTCACATATTTCCTATAGGAGTGTATAGTTTAGAAAGACAAGATATGCTATAGTTGAATAACAAGTATCTTCACACATGAATTATTGAAATGTTTAATATGTACTCTAATCAACATTATATCTACTTCAATAACATCTAGAAATTTTTGTTTTTAATGTCTTGTGTGGTCATCATTAAATTCAATTTTAAATTATAAATAAAATATATGATTGAGTTTTATAAAGTTATGTAACAAATGCTTATTAATCAGCCTCTGATGATCAATATAATTTTTTACACACTTTATAAATGTAATTGCTATATCCCATATTTGTTTTATAAGATACATAATTAACATTAATTTATGATACAATTATTAATTTTTCATAATGATGTATTTCAGTCATTAAGAAGATTCCCTCTGCCCTTAATCTTAACAACTTTGCGTGATCTGGTATCTTTCTTTCTTTCCTGCATTTTCATTATCAAAACCTCTATATTCACATTATCAAATATTTATTGGTTGCTTATAATATGTAATACATTTTTAAATGCTTCATATATGTAACTTAAGGCTCTCAGAAAGCTGAATCTATTATTATCCTCGTTTCATGGATTTGAAAAATGATGTTGCATAACTGAACCAAGTTTACTCATCTAGAAAGGGTCATCCCGTTTGAATTCAGATCTGTCTAAAATCATAGTTCTGATTATTAATATCTATATTTAGTTATAAAGATCAGTATGCAACTAAGTATTGTAAATTTCATAGTGTTATAGATTTTTTCAAGGTTGACTTTCAGTCTTTTAATTCCTCACAGTGATATTTAGCATAGTGATTTTTTAATATAACATTTGTGTAATGATCAACATAACTCATTAAAACCTGAAAATTTTATTGATGCTACAGAACCTGTTGATACTTTATCATAGTATGTCTTTTTGTTAAATTAACATGTACTATTTATATTGAGAATTGATTTATGGTTTTACTTCTCCAATTTCTAGGAGTCTTTTTTTAAAAGGTTGCCTTCTCGGGAGCACACATATTTCTCTGTACCATTTTATCATTTAGACAAATGTTTCATAAGACTCAACCCAGTATCAGTTCATCAGTACCTCTCATTAATTTACCATCTTTTATTTTCCTACTTAATTTCTGGTTTATATTGACTTTTCAAATACCATGGACTTCCTTATTCTAATTGCTTTTTGAAGTTCAGCATTTACTGAAAATATTTCTTTTAAAAATCTGGTCATTTGGATTTATGGCACAATTTTGAGACATTACCTAACATAATTAAAAAATTCTCCCCTGCATATTTTTAGTATGCCTTTTAGTTTTCCATAATTAATTTTAACATGATATCCTAATTTTTTTCTTAAACTGAATGCACATATGATTGAAGTTTCAGAGTCTTGTACACTTTGTACCAAACATGATCATTTTAGTACTATAATTACTTAGTGGCATCTTCTGAGACATATTTTAATATAATTCTTGATCACTGCTCAAATCCAAATTATTATAGTCAGCATATAACACTACACATGCAGATGTCTCAATAAAATCAATTTCCCTTTGTAATAGGAGGGTATTAGAAAAATATTTATTTTCTGCAAGTCACAGGTTTCTTGTATAGTAAATATAGGGAGAGGGATATATATTACTATTCCCCATGATATCTCTTAAAAATATATCAGCCAAAAAAAGGAAAGGATTGTGGCCAATAATACTTGTGAAGTTTGGTTCCTCTTGCATCATCTTAGGTAGTGTCATACTTTGAAATTAGTAAAGGTAGGTCATGTTCAAAGGAATTGAAAAATCTGATTTGACAATATAGTGTGATTACAACAAATTGAAAATTTTAATATCTGAGCATAGCAAACTAAAAGAAGATAAAATAATATAGTTGTTTAATTCAAATCCATATTTTTAGTCTTTAAAAAGGACAAAGTGGGAAGCAGGTTCAAATGAGCCAAACTGCAGGCACTGGTTTGGATAGACATGTCCTTCCAGCATTTTAGGAACTTCATTTCCCTTTAGCTAAATCTTATTCCAGAGAGTTAGAAAAAATGAGCGTTCAAGAAAGTAGATTCTCATAGACAACTTGGAATTCAGCAAAATCACTTTACTCCTTAGATATTTTACTTTAAAGAAAGAATTTCCTGGGTAGCTAGTGTTCCCTTTGAGAACTATGTTTATAAATTTGGGAATCTGAAACATTTAAATATTTTGTATTTCAAAAAAGGCAGCAGTGCCTACATAGTTATATTTTATGATGTGTGATATTTAGTCTATTTTATTATTTATAAATGTCATTTATTAAGGACATTCTATATAAAATTATGTATCTTTTAAAAGTCTAAATGTTATGAACTAACAACAGAATGTGGATATTATAAACAATACCATAGTATGATGTTGCTATACTTTCATGCTATGTAGGATATCATATTTCCTTATTTTATCATTTCTACATTTATTCACATGTGTATACATTGTTTGGGCCACCTCCCCCCATCCATATATAATATAGGATATCATATATTTGAATTTATTTTCTTATACATCATATTATGACACGATTAAAATATCATTTGTGAGAAGGCGTGGCATATTCTCTAACATAATATGGTTACTCCAGGAAGGTAATAGTGTGCTTGTAGATCCATTCTGCTTTTGCTATAGTTTTCCTGAGTTAGTTTATGCAGGGATAATGTTAAAACTTTAGCTGGAAATCCACATTTATAAATGAAAAAACTTTTTCATAAAATGAAAAAAACTTTTTCATAGTGGGATTATATTTTCCTGAATGCTTCTTTTCAGTGCTTTGGATCAGTGGATATATATTTCTGGACAATATCAGAAATAGAGAACAATTAATTTTGGATTTTTTTCTTTTTAAAATCATGCTGACAATATTTCAACTAATTCTCAGATCCATTTTTAAAAATGAAAATGCAAGTTAGTTTTAGAAAGTATGTTTTAATAATACTCATAATCTTTAACATTTATTTGGAAACATCCAAAATATTATTTGCTCATCATCAACCCTCATCAGAGTTTTGATCACTTTTGCTTTTGTTTAAATATATATTTAAAAAAATTTTTTTAAACGTAAAAATAAAATAAAATAAAATAAATAAATATATATTTTATCATTCTATATTTTGACATTCATATTCTTTGATAAGATAATCAGAAATCATGTTCATACTATTATATTTTTATCATTAATTAATTTGTTTGAAATCACTATATGATTAATACTTTTATAATAGAAATGTATTGCTTTTCACATCATTGCAGGCTTAGTTTCAAGGGATTTATTTACATTTTTCTGTCTAGATGGTGTTAATGCTGACAGCATCAAACAAGCCTCAGAACAACTGAACAGCCGGTGGATAGAATTCTGTCAGTTGCTAAGTGACAGAATTAACTGGCTGGAGTATCAGAACAACATCATCACTTTCTATAATCATTTACAACAATTGGAACAGATGACAACTACTGCTGAAAACTGGTTGAAAACCCAACCCACCACCACATCAGAGCCAACAGCAATTAAAAGCCAGTTAAAATTTTGTAAGGTAAAAATCTTACTGCCTTCCATTTGGGAACATGATCAATATTCATTTCTTGGCAATTTGCAAGAGGGTCAAACTATTTAGTAATGAAATTTTCAACTTCTTTTTTTTATTGTTTTATTGTTCATATGTGCATACAAGGCTTGAGTCATTTCTCCCCCCACCCCCTCCCTTACCACCCACTCCGCCCCCTCCCTCTCCTCCCCACCCCCTCAATACCCAGCAGAAACTATTTTGCCCTTATCTCTAATTTTGTTGAAGAGAGAGTATAAGCAATAATAAGAAGGAACAAATGTTTTTGCTGGTTGAGATAAGGATAGCTATAGAGGGAGTTGACTCACATTAATTTCCTGTGCATGTGTGTTACCTTCTAGGTTACACTAATTGCAGTAAAGATCAAATACAAGCAAAGAAAATCAGTTTTAGTAGGCACTGTATGGATGCTGAAAACTTAGCATTGTATTTAGATAATTTTCACATAGCTGGTTTTGTCAGTTTGCAAGAAAATAAGGCAGGGAGTATAGAAACTGAATGTATCTTGCAAAAAAAAGTGGCCTGTACTTTGGAGTTCTTCTTTTGGTAGGAGCAAAATCCAATCTGTATTGAAAAAGTGGAATCCAAACAAATCATTAAAAAGACAGCCAATATGCTGTACAATGGGATTCATAAGGAAAATCTTAAAACTGATGGCACACTCAAATTAGGATATCTTGAGTGAGATCTCTTTGCAAAGAGATATTTTAAAAACGTAGTTGGGGTACAGAGGATTGCCAAAGGATAGTTCAGTTACCTACCAGCCAAGTTATCACCTTTCTTAAGACAAAAAGATTCAGGGAGAGAGAAGATGTGGAAACATAGAAGAGACTGAGATCCCAATGATTAAGGGCACACTAAAAGCTAGCCCATTATTTTTCTGGCTCCATTTCCATGTGCTAGCCCATTATTTTTCTGGCTCCATTTCCACATAGGCACATGGAAATAGAGCCAGAAAAACAAATACCTTTATTCTCCTCTATGCCTGAAGAATCTGGACAGGACTCTCCACTTACTAAACTTAACTAAAAGGAAAAGGGAAAGGAACTGTAATGTGTAAATTCTCCTAGATCATAGATGAGTGGGAAGTGGATCTTAGTGGGTAAGCAAGACGGAACTGGCACAAAAGGGCATGAAGAAGATTAAAAGAGCATAACTTCAAGTATATTAAAATTAGACATATATAACCTTAAATATAGCTTGAACTTTTCTAATCATTACTATGACTTATGTGTATTTCATGGGAAATAGGAAGATTATTGGAGAATGGATTAAAAGGTTTCCAGGATGAACCTTTAATGATAATTTGTAGTGAGTGTATTTGATATGAATGGAGTTAATTTGCACAATTTTCAAAGTATCATTTAAAAAGGTGAATAGAGATGGAGAGCTGACAGTATTGGTCTGGAAAAGATATTGAACCCCAAAACAGTGATGGGAAACTCAAAGATATTTGGAAAGGCAAAATTATTGAAGGAATTGATGTTTTTCTACAAATATTAGATGTATGGCTTTACTAGGAAATAAATAAATTCAGGAAGTAGTCTTTTAATAAAGAATATATTACAAAAAGACATTTAGTTTATTAGGGAAATATGAAAACTATAGAATTTGTACATTTAGATACAATTTTATAATTAAATAATAGAAAATGTGGCTTCTTTTCTGTGAATTGAATAATAATTCTCATGTATTATTTCTCGTAACAAAAGTGTGATGAAACCAGGTATGCTGATCGCATGCCTGTAGTCCATGCACTTGGGAAGTAGGAGCAGTAGGATCCAGAATTTGAGGCCAGACTAAGCTACAAAGAGAATCCCAGTCTAGCCTGAGCTATATAATGAGATCCAGTTTCAAAAATACTCCTTCCCATAGTGACCTCGGTCAGTTTAAGGTTACTGTATTAGCTCCTATACAGTGAATACATCAACTACATTCAAGTTTTAGGTTTCCTTCCCTTTCCCTATTCCTTCCATGTGCATTCTTCCCCTAGTGTGTGACCCATGTCCAATAGTATTACTGTATTTGTTTTAGGTCTATAATATGCATGTGAGGGAGAACCTGACTTTTGGCCTTCTGATCCTGGCTAACTTCGCTTAAGATGGTGTTCTCCAGTTCCATCCATTCACTTGTGAATGACAGAATTTCATTAGCTCTTATATTTTTCTCTTCAACAAAATTGGAGAACAAGAAGGCAGAATAGGTTCTGCATGGAAACAAGGGTGGGGGTGTGGGGGAGGTTGCCCAAAAATAGTATACACATGTAAATAAATGTAAAAATTAAAAGGTAGCACTATTCTCATTGTATTCATACATTCAAAATTAACAATTCATTTTATTTTGCCATTTTACTGTGATTTCCAGGAATCTCAGATTTTAAATTAGTTCATGATTGCTGTAATTCTTTTAATTTTCTCATTCTAATTGGTTCATGATCCAATTTTTAATTTTAATTATCCTGTTTTTACATGTTAAATGGTAAGCAATCCTGAGTACCTTTTTTCTAAAGGTAGCATATATATGAATTATAAGTAAGCAACTGTGAAAATAACACTTGAAAAAATATTTGAGAATTTCTTTTTGAGTTCAAATTATACATGCACAAAATAGAAACTAGTTGCAACTTCATTTGAGTACAAAAAACATTTATGTAGAGAACAGGTGTATCCATTGAATTTGTCACAAATTCGAGCCATATATCTAATTTTAAATTAGAAACCACATTTAAAAAATAAAAAGAGCAAGGTAACATTTTTCAATAATACATTTTATCTGATTTATCAAAAATACCATTTCAAGGTTTGATAAGTAGTATAAAACTATGTGACATATTCTGTTTCTAATTTTCCATATTCAGTTTTCAAATGCAGTGTGTATTTTATAATTTCATCACATCTTAATTTGGAATATACACATTCCAGTTTCTCAGTAGCCACATGTGGCTAAGGACAATTGTATTGGACCACACAGTGGGGTTCATCTGATTTTGTCATCCAAACCAAAATCCTATTGAGAATGAAAGTATGTGATAAAAGGGGCAATGTCAAGCATGCATATTTAATTTATGGAATGGATTTAAGGTCATTTGTAGTACTTTTCTACTGCACATATTCATGCCCATTAATACTCTAAATGAGATCATCTTAAAATTAAAGATTATCATATATGAAGATACAAGCTGAACAAAGAGGTATGGTATATTTATATTGATGACCTGTGGAAGAGGCTTGCCTGCACCTTCTTATGAAATGCTGTCTAAGATTATTAAACCAAGGTTGCATCAGTACCTTTTAACAACTTGCTTATAAAAAATTCAATGTATGAAAAAAAGTGTTATTTATTTTTAATATTCTAAATTATGGTACAGGATGAAGTCAACCGGCTGTCAGCTCTTCACCCTCAAATTGAGCAATTAAAAATTCAGAGCATAGCCCTGAAAGAGAAGGGACAAGGGCCAATGTTCCTGGACGCAGACTTTGTGGCCTTTACAAATCATTTTAACCAAGTCTTTGTTGAAGTTCAAGCCAGAGAGAAGGAGCTACAGACAAGTAAGTAAAAAATACTTGAAAGAGAAAGTTTGAAATTTTCTAAATTGGTTATTTATGGAAAACATAAAAGTACTAATACAAAATTACTAATATAAAATAATAACTTCTATAAATGAAACCATCCTCCCTACAATCTTTATTAATAAATAATAAAATATTGGTGTTGGAAAACAAACATGTTACTTTTCTATATCTTTCCTCCATAATTCACGACTTTGATGAAGAAGGAAAAATATGTTTTCTAAAGGCATAACTTTGGGTGCAAATTTCAGAATCAGGTGTTTTAAACATTGAAAAAATTAAATGATCAGTTGAAACTGTGTGAGTTTTTTCATAAAATTCAGTTTTCTATATGTACAAGGATATTTATATGGACATCTTCTGGTTTTTTCTGCCAGTTCATCTGAACAATATTTAGCTATAGCATAAATGTGGGAACTGAAACACAGCAAAGGACAAATTATCCTTCAGGCTACATTTTTTTCTTTTGGATCATTATAATTACATAAATCCTCTTTTTCTCTTTCAATGATAAGGTAAAAGATAAAAGTAGTGCAATTATACAAATTCATACCATATGACTAGCAAATTTTTCAAGATGTCTTTTGTTTCCCACTTATTCTCATAAGATGTTAATGTATAGTATATGCTTAGAAATGTCTACTCATCAGCTTAATTTTTAAGATGAAAATTCCTTTGAGAGATAGATTTATAAACAGTTTTAATCAATAGTGAATGAGCTTTTGGCCTACAATACACATACAAACATACGTAATTGTGAACACACAAAAGATTATAGAGTACAATTGGGGTTTAAAGCATTATGTTAATAATATTTTGCAAAATCTCTTTCCCGAATTTGTTACGGGAAGTATAATTGTATGTCTTTGTTTTCTACTGAAACTTTAATTAATTGGAAAAAGTATTTTTCTACAGCTTTTCTTTGTAAACATTAGAATTTACCATATCATAACATTTTTAGAATATACTGATACACAGGAAATGTTCCTTACTAGCTTATTGTTTTTATAATAATGAAATGAACTACATAAAGCAAAAGGCAAGTATATTTTTCTTGTACTTCAAAGTAAATTTTGCTAAGGAGTTAATTTTTCTCATAAGGAATCAGATAATGAAACTTTAAAATAATGTCAGCTCCCTCTAGTGGATTCCAATGTACTTGTTGCTGCATTTTCATGCAATCAAGTTGGTATATTTTGAATTTTCTAAAATTTAAACATCACATCTAGTAGCAATGTATATTATTGTGTCATAAAATCCATGAATCTATTTGCCTACTAGTTACAGTATATTCATTAAAAATATACTTTGGTGAAAACCAATATAAGGAATTGAATTTATGACTGTAACCTGGCAAAGGTAAAATGAGAAATTAATATTGAAAGATAAAATTTACCCTATATTCGAGGTTTAAAGAGATCTGTTGTAATTCGCATAAAAATTAAAGGCCCTGAGCTTATCTTGTTGCTTTCCCTAAGGAAATTTTTAATTTAAATGTGGTTTAAAAGCTTTATCTGTGATTGCACTATTGTTGTTTTTAATGTGTCTTTATGTGTATGTTCATTAGTCTTGCACTTATGATTGTTCGGGAATTCCAGGTCATTTATGCATGCTTAAATTGACATCTATGGCATGCCTAATTTAAAACTTTTTTGCGTATGTGTGTGTTCAAATAACTTTAAAGTGGTTCTTATTATAGAGTTAATATAAAGGAAAATTTTACCCTATATTCATAGTACTTTTTAATCTGAAAATAATCTTCACGTAAGTGATTTTTACTTACTGTCCGGAAAGCAACCACTTGAATATGTACTTTGACATTGCAATGTAACATGGGAGCAGATTTGGCCTGAATGGCTTTAAGGATGAATATGGAATGGTATAAGAACTATATAGAATGCATGAATATTCATAAAAACACTATTCATAACACTCAAAAAGTGAAAGCAAACTGTAACCCTAACTACTTGGGAGACTGAGATTGGGAGGATCATGGTTTCAGGCCAGTTAGGACAAAAAGGTCCTGAGACCACCCCACCCCCAGCTCATCCAACAGCTGAGCACAGTGCCACACACCTGTCATTCCAAGCTACATGGGAGACTGAGATCTGGAGAATTATGGTTCCAGATCAGTCTGGACAAAATATTTGTGGGACTCAATCTCAGTGGCAAAAACTGAGCATGGTGGCTCATACCTGTCATCCTAGCTTCTATGGGAAGCTTAAAATAGGAGGACCATAGTCCAGGCTGGCCTGGGCACACAGCAGGACCCTTCTCCAAATAACCAAAGCATAAAGAGCTGGAGGCATGGCTCAAGCAGTAGAGCACCTGCTTAGCAAATGTCAGGCCTTGAGTTCAAACTCCAGTATTGTCAAAAACAAAACAAAACAAATGTCTATCAGCTGATGAGTATCCATCAGCAAATGAATACCCTTCCTGAAGATCTCCATTATTATGTAATAGAAAGAGATGAATTCCTGATACATGGCACAGCATGGATGAGACTTGAAAACATGCTAAGTGAAAGGAGCTAGTAAGAAAAGAGCATGCATATTTCATGATTCAATTTACATGAAAATTAAGTATATCTGTAGAGAAAGAAAGTAGATTTGTGCTTGCCTAGGCTTAGGAGGGTTGACAGGGTAAAAATTATCTGTCAAAAAATTGCTAAAAACCTTATCTAGAAATTACAAACCATGGTCTACTACAGATAAATATCAAAACTAAGAACTACTTTGTCATAATTAATCTACTATTTAAACAAGAAATTGAACACTTTTTCTAAATAGAAAATAAAATCAGTAGTATAATTTGGGTTTATTTCACTAATGAGGTAAAATTATGTCAAGAAAATAATTCTTAGGATTCTTTTGGTTTAGTTTGGTTTTCACAAATGGGGAAAGTGACTACATTAGTTATGACAGATCAACTATTTTGTTTGCTCTGAAATTTCAAATGGATATGATACTTTGACAGAAAAATAATTTATCAAATTATATGATCACTTTTAAGATCTAGTTAGAATCATATTGGTTAGCACAGGGAAATCAAATTTATTATATTATAATTTACTATGTGATAATGTTCATTTTCTTCATGAATTTCAGAGGTTTTTATTTTATGCTAACCTATTCTGAAAAGAAAGACATTCTTTGAATTCATTGCATTTCCTTCCTTCTTATCTTCCTTCCATCTTTCCATTCTTCTTCCTTTCCTTCTGTTCTTCCTTTTTTCCTCCAACCTAGATACCTATCTACTTTGATCTACACATAGATTCAAACTCAGTTTTGGGGCAATATATAATACTTTGAAATATATTTTATAATTTTCTACTTTGAGATGGTTGATAAACTAGCAAATCTATAATTCCTCCTTTTGATTCATTTAGCATGGATACACTTATTTTCAATATCTAAAATATAATTTTAATTTTAAACATTTTAGTGCATATTGATTGTATAAGATAATGGATTTTTGTGACATCTTTATTATATACATATATAATAAATACATATATATATATATATATATATATATCATGTACTTTGATCATATTCAAACCTCCCATTACCTTCTCTTATTTCCCCCCATCTGGTCTGTTTACTCTTCCAAAATAGTTCCTCTTCTACTTTCATATCTTCTTTTTAAAAATGTAGATACTAAATGTAAGAGAAAATATGAAACATTTGTCTTTCTGAATCTGGCTTATTTCAGTTAACATGATGATTTCTAGCTCTATCTGCTTTCTTGTGAAAAACATGATTTCATTCTGCTTTATGGCTTAATAATACTCTATTGTATATATACCATGCTTTCTTTATCCACACCTAATCAAAGAGTGAATGACTTCTTTAAGGAAAACAATAAAACACTGAGGAAAGAAATAAAAGAAAAGTTGAAAGGATGGAAAGACATCCCATGTTCATGGGTTGACAGAATTAATATTGTTAAAATTTCTATATTAACAAAAGTGATCTAGATAGTCAACGCACTGCCCATCAAAATTCCAGCAGTATTCTTCATAGAATTAGAAAAAATGTATTTTTTACTTTTAATTGACATACAGTTATTGTACATATTTATGGGGTACAACATGACATTTCAATACATCTATACAAAATGTAATGATCAGATAACAGTAATTGAAATGTATATCACCTCAGACATCTTTTGTGCTTTTTAAAAATGTTTTATTAACATTGTAATTACATATAATTATGGGGTACAGTGTGATAATCCAACACATGTACACAATGTGCAATGGTCAATTCAGGGGAGCTTGCCTAGACACAATTTACTCTTTCACCACAATGTTATGAATGCCAAGATTATCCTCAAGAAAATGTCAACATATTACCAAATTCTTTGTTAGATATTCTGTACAATATAGTAAATTTGCCTTGACAATATAACAGGAAATGTTATATTTATAATCAACACTTGTATTTAAATAAACTCATAGAACAATTTCATCTAATTTGGTAGCATTTCCCTTGATCTTTACTTATTACTATTATTCATTTTTGATCTGATCACAGTTTTATTTCTAGGACCAGGTAGAAACTAGCCTTTAAATTCACCTCTGTATGTGTCTGCACAAGCATTTGCCCGTGTTTTGTGTCCTTGTGTAGACATGTATGTACGTGTATGTGCATTTGCCTGTGTATGTATTTGTAAATCAGTTTAGACCAATATCATGGATTTGACTCTGGGTCTGATTCTCCAAAACTAATTAAATTACATAATTGTATCCTTTTGGCTTTTTATCTCACCCTTGAAAAAAAATTTCTCTATTGCCGGAGTAGAGAATATTTACATTAAACTTTTGCAGTTTCCTCTTAGCTTTGAGTATGTGTTTAAGTTATCATTTTCTAATGTCTGTCTTCAGCGCTAGTAGTAGTAATAGTAATAGGAGTAGTAGTAAATATATTATGTGCCCAGTAGTGAATTAAACAATTTGCAAATATAGAATAATTTAGAATGAAGTATAGCATCTCAGCATTGTCTACAAGGGCTCATAATCATAATTCCCAGTAACTTTCCGACTCTTGTGTCTGACCGTGCTCCACTTTGCTCTTGCCCCTCCTTGCTGCAAACCTAGACAGATAGGGATTGTCATATCTAGGAATGTGATACTTATTATATTCCACCTGGTAAAACTTTCTTCTTGTTAGGCTCATATTGGTATTCATTCCTTCATTTCTTTTACGTCTGTCCAAATGATGCTTCTACAGAGAGAACTTTTAGTCATTATCAACTTACAATCCTATTTTAAAACTATATTCATGTATTAAATATTTTGGTTATATTGAAGGCAAACACCTAACACATAACATTTTTAAATTGTGAAAACATTAAATCTGCATACTGAATAGCTAAATTTAAGGTATAGAGTATCACAAAACTATTCATGTCCTCTGTTAACACTCTTTATCAAATTCCTTTCCTTCCTCAACCATTATCCTCATGAAGATCATTCTATTTGTCCTCAGTACTATTCCTGCTCTTTCCATTAAAATCACATTTCCCAAGATTCACTTTCAAACTGGCTGTTGGCTTGATTTTGCCAATGGAAGGCTTTAGGGTTATTGAGGGTGGAAGGGCAAGCAAGGATATTTCTCCTCTTATTTCTTCAGGGTACATTTTCATCAGTGGCTAAAAATGAATCTTCCAGGGTTCTACCTCTGTCTGGAAATGTCATTATTCAGGCCCCAACATCATGAGAGGGAAGTTCCCTATAATTTCTCCTCCTGACTGGTGGCCCCAATTGTTGAGTCCTTATTAAACAATCTCTAAGCTCTTCCCTTTCCTTGTAACTTTTGAGTTGGTATTGGCTTCCTGATACTGCAAAGCTAGAGGCACTATCCTTTGTGTGCATTTTCATTTATTTTAGCATTTTTAATCTAATTTTCTATCTTAAATTCATTTAACTACATTATCTGTATCTCTCTCCTTCTCTATCAACTCTCAATACAGTCCTCTTATTTTTCTTCACAGTGATTCAATTAGCTATTGCAATACTTTATTTTATGTGTTTAGCTCCTTATGTAACTCACCAATTAAATTTTAAGCATGAAGAGATGACTTTTATTTTTTTACTTCTTGCATTCCTGGTGCTCTGAGCACTGAGTAAATATTTGCTGAATTAAGGAGTAATAAATGAATAACCTCATTTAATTTTCCCAAAAGTATTATCATCCTCATTTCTATAAATGAGCCCAAAGATACTAAAAGGTTAAGTAATTTGCTGAAGCTAGTAGGTAGATAGCCATGTATGAAACCAGGTTTACTGAGCTACAGAATCAGACTTCCAAATTTTCATGCTACACAGCCTGTCTATAAAAACAAGGAGAAATAATTCTGTTAGATATTCATATTCATGAAAACTTATTTGTCTCTTTCTAATAAAAAGTATTTCCAATGTCATCATCAATTCTTTGTACGTGTATCTCTTTTTCCTAACATATATTCATCCTCTGGTTATAATTGGACTGAGTAATATAACTACTGGCAAGTTTCTAATACAGGTTTGGCTCAGCCACTGCCACAAAGGAAACAAACACCACTTTGCAGAATGTGCACATTGAAGTTCAATTTAATCAAATTTTTAGGTTTTTGAAATTTTTGATGGTACTGGGATTTGAACTCGGGGCCTCATACTTGCTAGGTGGGCACTCTGCCACTTGAGCCACTCCACCAGCCCTTATTGGTGTTGGGAATATTCCATAAAGGATCTCACAAACTATTTGCCCTGGCTGGCTTCGAGCTGCTAGCCTCCTGATCTTAGCCTCCTGAGTAGCTAGGATTACAAACATGAGCTACAGGCATCCAGTCAATTACATCAATCTTTATGATGTTTATAATCTGCCCAACATATTTCCTGGTCCCTCCTTTCAGATTAGGTGCATAAATGTATACCCAAACACAACCCTCTATTTCAGCATAGCAAAATCCTTCTAAACATCTATTCATAAGGACTTTGTTTTATTTATTTTTAAATTGTTTTTGCATTCAATTACATGTGTATATGATATTTGGGCCACCTCCCCATCCTGCCTCCCTGTTCTGGGCAAACCTGTTCTGCTCTCTTATTCTCTGATTTTGTTGAAGAGAAAACATAAGAAATAATAAGAATGACATAGTGTTTTTGCTACTTGGAGCTAAAGATAGCTATACAGAGAGATTCCCAGCCTTGCTTCCATGTACACGTGTATTACAACCCACATTGGTTCATCTCTACTCTCTTTTATTTTTTAATAATTATTTAGCATTCAAATAAGTGTATGTGGTCAGTAATGACAGAAGCACATTATTAATATGAAATAAAACACTGAGGTTTAAAGCACCACAGATATTTAATAAAAATTGGGATTAAAGAAAGTGACTTTAAACAAGTTTGGCTATAAACTCTCAAATGGAAGCATAATGAATTGCATTCTCCATTTCATATATTTCAGTATCCATTTCTACCATACTTTCTGAAATTATCTTAATTTTCTTAATATCTGATGAAATAGCATGTTATATATTTTCTTATTTGAATTGATGTATGGAAATGACATTCATACTCTATCTAGAAAAATAGTAATATTTAAAGAGTACCATTTGATATAGTCATGTAAAGTAGGACTTCGCTTCATGATTTCATGTATTTAGTGAATAATTATATTTTCAAATATGACTTCTGCCATGTTCTCTCTTGAATATATTTGTGTTACACCATTTCACTGTTATAAGAATGGTCATCTGTGTAGGATTATTATTAGCGTTCTTGATGTATGCTAGGCACTCATAAATGGGCTTAGGTAATATAATATCATTTAAAATATCAAAGGTTTTATATATTGATACAGTTTTCTTCAGAAGTGAATGACAATAAAGAAAGAGAATACCCTTCAAGGGTTGATACACTTAGATTATACTCAGTTTCTCCAAATATAATCTGTATGACCCTAGAGGAATTATTCAGCCTCTCTGTTTTTCCATTTCCTGAACATACAAAATGAATTGACCACTGCACACTTTGCAGGTTGACTTGAAAATTCAACGTAATACATTTAAAATTCCTAAAATACTAGACACATAGTAGAAAAGTATCTTGCATTACCATATTATAATCTATATTTCAGGTTTTCACATTTTGTTAGTATTGAAAACGTAAAAAGTTAAAATGGCTATATTCTCTCTCTTTTCCCCTTTTGATAAAGTCTTTGACGCTTTGCCACCCATGTGCTATCAGGAGACAATGACTACCATCCGGACATGGATCCATCAGTCAGAAACCAAACTGTCTATACCTCAGTTTAGGGTCACTGAATATGAAATTATGGAGCAGAGACTTGGAGAGTTGCAGGTATGTAGACATCTGAATATCATGAACAACACACTGCAGATCTCATTTACCAAGAAATTACATTGGTATAATCTTAAAATACCACTAAATTAAAAATGATAGATTATCAGTTGAATAAATGAAGAGATTTAAGGTTGATTTATGCAATTTCATCTCTTTGCTTCTCTTTCTGTATATTTCAATAAGTATTATCTTATGAATAAATATGGATATAAATAAAAGAAAATGCTATAATTAAAATGATTATATGACATATTTATGAAGTATATTTTGAGATTAGTGTGCATTTCAGACATATTGAATTTGACTCTTAGAAAAACTAGCATATTTCCCCTATTCCTTGCCATATTTTCAAGCAAAATTGGTTTAATTGATTCTCAGCCTTATGGCTAACATAAACTGTACTATAAAATTGGTTTAAATACTAATCATATATGGTATGTATGATCTATTTAAGTTCTAACAAAAAGTTTTAACAACCTTATACCAGGAGAGGTAATATACTAATCTGAGAAATAAAAGAAATTATTTGTAAGAGATGTAAGAATAATTTTCCTATTGATTTAAGAAAGTCTATATTGTATACTCAGTTTTTAGTATCTGAAAACATATCCATTATATATAGGAGTTAAGATAATATGTCCACATTTTTTAGAATTAAATTAAGATAAATTTTACTTTATAATATTCTTTTTAAACATTAAGTATTACATTCTTAGAAAAAAGTAACTTCTTCCAAAAAATTTTTATTTAATTATTTTAAGCATATAATATCCTATTTAGACTACATCCACTATAAAATTAGTGAACAAACAGTAGCTGTTAATCTTTCTATTCCTTTTTTGTTGTTGCTTTAATATATGGCATAATTGACTCCAAAGCTTACTTAAATATATGTGACCTAATACAATTATTAAAATTTTTAAAAAGCAATAGGAGATGAAGAAAGTACACAAGGCATTGTGAGTAGTTGAAAGCTAGTATTTCCACTGACGGAAACAGTAATGTATAATTATTAACAAATCTTATTAGGATAATGTAAGAACCCTACTTCAAAAGTTTTACCAAAAATACCATAAATAATGAAAAGTTCAAATAATTTTGGAAACTTGAAACGTATTTTAAAATACAACATGGGGAAGCCTAAAATTTAATGGAAGCAATAACAAACTTTTCAAAAACACCACAGACAAGAAAAATGAGATCAAGCATTGTTTTCTATGAGTGAGGAAATTGTTAAAAAGAAAGTCACCAAAAAGAGATGCAAACCTATGAAAAATTATAATTCAAATTGTAAAGTATGAAGTATAGAAAGAGATGCCATTTTTCACGTACTAAATTTTTGTTTATTTTTCAAAGTAATTTTTTCCCTTTATTGTTCTGGGTGGGTGTACACTGTGGTGTTTGCAACAGTTCTGACAGTGTATCAAATATATCATACATGAATTCGCCTCCTCTACCATTCTCCTTTATTCCTTTCCCCCAATTCCTGGAGTAGTTTCAAAAGGTATCATAGTTGCATTCACATACTAAATTTTGGACACACATATATAAAAGATGTAGGTGTAAATCTAGAACAGATGATCTATACATTCTCACTTACTGGTAAGAATATAAATTGAATTTAAATTTGACTGAAAAATTAAGCATTTTTAATAATGTACAAAAATTCATACATTTGTATGCATAATATAATTGCTTTGATGTCTGTATCTTATGCAAATAATAAGAATATATTGAAAGGTATAGGTAGATGGGGATAGGTAGCTGATAGACAGATGGACATAAGCATAATTCACAGTAGTGGAAAGCTCCAAAGTAATTTGTATGGGAAATAATTATATGAGCAAAAAATACATTAAAATTTGCTTTTAAATATACCTAATGAACTCCAGGCACTGGTGGCTCAAGACTATAGGTCAAGATACTCAGGGGCAAAGATCAGGAGAATTGAGGTTCCAGGCCAGCCCCAGGCAAATAGATCTTGTGACCCTATATCAAAAACGCCCAACACAATACAAGAATGATAGAGTGGCTCAAGTGGTAGAGTGCTTGCCTATCAAGTATGAGACCTTGAATTCAAAAATAATACTGTCCCTAAGTCAGACATAGGGGAATAATTGAGTATAGTAAAATAAAAATAAAAACTAAACTAAAAACTTAAATTTAGTATCACAAATGGGCATAAGATAATAAGCAACCATAAAAGTTATGTGTTTGATAAGTTATTTGTATATGTCACATTATAAAAGAAGGAATAATTGTATGTATATAATATGATCAGTTTTGAACACTTACACATAAAAATGAAAGTTTATATAAAATCCTAAATTGCAAGTGAATGTTTTTCATTTTTTATCACAAGGATTTATGACTTTATAAAAATAAAGTAACACTTGAATAATTATTGAGATGAGATCTAAAGATAGGCATTCTGTTATAAAGGATTGCATGTATTATGCATGAGAGATGTACAACAAGCATTGTAACTTCCAAAAATTACCCTGAGATTTCACCTTAATACTGTAAAACAGAATTGAATCTTTTGAAAATATAAAACTCTAGTTAACTGGCATTAATAAACTGGCAGTCTGATAGCTTATTCAGATTTTGTTATCCCACTTAAAATTCTGATTTAGAAGTAGGTTTATTAAGGAAAGATAGAAATTGTCATATTAAAGGTTCAATATAATTATGTTAAACTATATTAACTGTAGCATAAATATAGTTATTAATTTATACACATGACTCAATAAAATTAGGGGTGATAAAACTCTTGTTTAGTAAGATGAAGTTTTGAACATATTTGATGTTATTCATAAAAATAGGCATGGATTATTTTTTAAAAAATCACTAAATAATGTAATTAATCTTATGATAAGACAAAAATTTTAAGTTACCACCCAGTGTTTTATTACTGATATTAAATCATTTACTATACTTAGATGCTTGAATCTCATAGCTTTCATTTTAGGTATACTTGATGTAACTGAAAATTGTCAATTATTCATTTTAAATTTTTTTGAGGTTTTGCAAAGTTCTCTGCAAGAGCAACAACGTGGCCTAAACTATCTCAGCACCACTGTGAAAGAAATGTCAAAGAAAGCACCTTCTGATATTAGCCGGAAATATCAATCAGAATTTGAAGACATCGAGAGTTGCTGGAAGAAGCTCTCCTCCCAGCTGGTGGAGCATTGTCAAAAACTGGAGGAGCAAATGAATAAACTTCGAAAAATTCAGGTATTCCTAGGGTTTGCTTTTCATATCTGCTCATTTACTTATTTTCTGCTTAACGATGCATTGTAAAATTTAAACATAAGTAGGTATTTGACCTTCAATGTCATTGATAAGATCCAACAAATTTTTTCTAAAGGAGTGTAATTTGCCTATTTCTCCTAAGATAACAGTAATTAAGAGTTCAGAGATCTTAGGTTTTCTTTAGAATTAATTTGATTTATTTAATAATCTCCATAAGATTTAAACATGTTTTTAGTGTAGTCATTTCAAAAAACAATTATTCTTTTTTGTCTGGTTGTCCTTTAAGATATAAATTTGGCTTATGACTAAAAACTAAGTTATATATGAATAGTGTACTTGAGTCACAAGATTTTATTACTGTATTTCCCTTCTTATTGTATGCTTTATTTTTACTCCATTGACTTCTTCCTCAAATGGACTTCTACTACCTTAATATATTTGAATAGTTCCACCATTCTAATAATTACCTAGGCTAAAAATCATAAAACAACAATTACATTCTAATCTTAAAGTATAAACTATTTAATCAGATAGGCAATGTCTATAAGGTACAACACACAATTACATATCTCTCTTTGTAAATATGTGTATATGCATATATACATAAATGCATACATGAAAACACACATTATTTGCCAGGACCAGTGACCAAAGGGTACAATTACATGGTTTTCACCATCAATAAATCTTCATTCTAGTAAAGGAGAAAGATAAGGATATTAGTTTCCTCTAGCTGTTAACACACAGTTTTGTAAATTTAATGGCTCCAAACAACACAAATTTATTCTCTTATAGTTCCAGAGATCGGAAGTCCAAAATCAGTCTCAGTGCGCTAAAAATCAAGAAGTCAGCAGAGTGGTATCTGTTCTGGAGGCTTTAAGAGACAATTTGTTTGTTTGCCATTTTCAGCTTCTAAAAGCTACATGCATTCCTTTTTTCATGTCCCAATCGTCCATCTTCAAATCCATCAGCATAGTATATTCTAGTGACAATGTGTCTGTGTCTGTCTCTGACTCTTTTCTCTGTGTTCTGTCTCTGTCTCCCCTCTCACCCTCCTTTCTCTACCTGTTTTTACCTCCCTCTCAATTTAATAACACCCCATAGTGACATTAATAACATTGTGCCCAGCCAAATGATGGAGGATAATCTTCCCATCCCAATTCTCTTTTTAACGTTTTCACATCTGCAAAATTCCTTGAGTGCAGCATGGTAAACATATTCACAACCCAGTGATTAGGACATGGACACTTTTTTGAGGGAGGAATCACTATCCAGCCTAGCACAGTAAATATAAACTATGGTAAATATTATAACTAAGCAGAAAAGAAATCCAATATCAACAAAGAAAAATGGCTTATGAAATATTATTGGACATAAATTGTCTCAGCTATACTTTGAACACTTGGAATTTAGTCAGCAAGCAGAGGAAAAAAGAATTCCTGGCAAGCTGAAAAAATTCAGTATTGTGAATTAATATATATTTTGAAAATTAATAAGACATGGTGGGAAATATGGTCCAGGAGTAGGTCTTGAATTGTAATGAGTGAAATGTTTTTGAATATGTATTTTAACTTAGTGAAAATGGGATGAACAGCAGCAACAAAAACAATATTAATAAAGTACAGGTACCAGTATTTTGAACAAAGAAAGCTGAAATTATATTTGTGTGCTCAAAACATCACCATGAAAAGGAAAGGAGGAGAGGAGATTACTTTCTTTAATCTGGAGAAATGACTCACATTTCTCCAGTATGATTAAGGCAGAACCCAGAAAGAATGCAGTAATGACAGAATCAATAATAAGACCTGAACAAAGTCAAAGGAGATATGGAAAAAAAGCAAAACTAGCTTTGAAAAATATAAAAAAAGTGATGCGGTAGAATTTTTTACATTTAGTCAAATATAAAATTATTACTGTTAATCATATTAAAAGGGAAGCTTTTGAAGAAGCATGCATTTTCTTTTTTAATTGTAATTGAATTTATAGAAAGCCTCAAAGAGTCTATGAACAAATTATTACAGTTAGCAAGATAGTTTTTCAAAGAAGCATATGTATTCAATAGAAATTTAATTAAGGAGAAAATAATACATCTGAAGAGTATAGTTGAATTATATAGATCTCAAGTAACAATCATATATTTGCAAATTGAAAAAAGAACTGAAAAATAATATAAGAAAGAATAATGGTAGGTACTTGGCTATTAACAAGTGATAAAGATGAGATTTTTTTGTCTGGTAATTATTTTTCATCTGGTCAGGCAAATAAGTAATTAGGAACAAATCTTTCTATGTAAAAATGACACAATCTTGGTGTGAATGTTCCCAACTGAAGGGACTATTTAAACTGTCAACTGTAGAAAACAATTTGTGGAAGTTTGGGTTTCAGGAGGATATAAAGATAACATTAGATTGAGTTTATTGTTCATAGTTTGTTTTATGTACTGTAAGGGCACATTGTTAGTATTATCATGAGTTATTTTGTAACTTAAAATTTCTCTAGAGGGGGATATGATTCAATGTTCTCAAGAGGACATCATAAAACCACATTTGGTAGTAATTTTTTTATTTTTAACAATAGCAGACTTTATATACCAATGCTCATCCAGTAGACCATAAAAATGCAGTCTTAGTAAAAATATTCTTTTCCTGAATAGCTACTTAGAGACATCCTTTAAACATGGGAATTGTTTCTGAGCTTGTGTTTAGACATATCATCATGATGAACTGTGTTAAGAACAATCAGCAAACCATGATGCCTTAAAAATGGGTCTTTTATTCCAGAATCACATAAAAACCTTGAAGAAATGGATGGCTGAAGTTGATGTTTTCCTGAAGGAGGAATGGCCTGCCCTTGGGGATTCAGAAATTCTAAAAAAGCAGCTGAAACAGTGCAGAGTAAGATTTTTACATGATCCCTTTCATATGAAGACTTTTATATGAATAATATTATTTGATTAGATCAGTAATTTACCCAGGGGACTGTACAATGCTTGGTGATATTTCTTGTTGTCACAACCTTATGTGTGTAGGGATAAGGGGGTAGGTGCAAATGACATCTAGTATGTAGAGGCCAGGGTTACTGCTAAACATCCTATAGGACTCACCACAAGAAATAATTATACAGTTCATAATATCAACATTGCCAACCTTGAGAAACCTTTGATGCATTAAATGAGAAATAAACAAAACACTGTCTTATATTCAAACCTCACTTAATAAAATCTTAATATAAAATGCAATATAATTTTAAGAAATCTTTGAGCTATTTGTTATAACTTACTACAGGTAATTATTCATACTGTGTTACCTGCTCTGTGTATAATGCATTGTGTTATAATATAACACAATATGGATTTTTGAAATTATATTCATTATACCATTATCATGCAACAGGAAAAAATAATCTATTCCTTTAAAGAACTTTCTTTGCAAATACAAGCGAAGAAAACAAATATGCATTGCAAATAACCCTCAATACCCATCATGATATAACAATTGCTGCAAAATCCTGTGTTTAAAAACTAAAATCATTTAAAAATAGTAATATATGAACCCCATTATTTTCACACATTTTATAACAGATAACATTAAATTTATTTTCCTTTGTTTTTGAGATAAGCCACATACAGATTAATTCCCTACTTTGTTCATGATATAGCTACTACTCAACCTCTTTTGTAAGGAGGTTTTGCGGTTATCTATTGTTTTAGCTATATCTATTTCATACCTTAAAGGATAAAATTTATTTGTAATATCATAATTACTAATTATACATTTCCTTTTTAATTTGCACTTATAAGATGTAGTGGTAATTTTTTCAATCAGATTAAATTGAATTATTTGCTTAGCTTTTAGTGAATGATATTCAGACAATCCAGCCTAGTCTAAACAGTGTCAATGAAGGTGGCCAGAAGATAAAGAGTGAAGCAGAACCAGAGTTTGCATCCAGACTTGAGACAGAGCTCAGAGAACTTAACTCTCAGTGGGATCACATGTGCCGACAGGTATGGACAATCTCCTTCATAGTGGTTTGATTCAATTTAATTAAGTAAAATTTCTTGATGTCTTCCCTTCATGATTATCAGTATTTAAAGCTTTGTTCCTGATTATGCTGATGCTTTAAAGTATAGTTCATTTAAACAAATTAGTCTTTTTATAGCATGTAAAAATATTTTGATAGTACATATTTTAAATAGTGTGTTTTTGTTCTTGGGGTATTAAGATGATTTACTTGAATATAATTTTCATATTGAAAAACTTGTTCGTAACCCTTTTCTTCATTGAATCTTTGTTTTAATGCATAAATTTATAGTAATTGGATTAACAGATATATTATGCATACATGCTTGATATAGAAATAAAGCAAATGAGTATATATAAATATATATGCACAAATATGGTACATAATTTGTACATCTGAATGGTAAGAATTCCCATTTTTTTCCTATATTTATTTCAGTCAATGGGTTGACATTGAGAAACAGTTGAGAATAGTTGAATGAAATAAAAAGCAAAATAGCTATGTGTTCATATCCAAGTTCCTCATTTTATTTAGCAGGAAATTTTATAGATATTATAAATTTCAAGACTAAATTATGGATAATAAAAGTATGCTCACAAACAATAAGTATCAAATAAGTCTTGTTCAAAACATAAAATTTTGACAGAAAGCAGTGATTACTTTTAAATTCATCAGTACCTTTTTTGAAGTTAATGAGAGGTTTCATTGATATGTATTAGAGGCAGTCTTTGGAAATTTCTAAGTAGGCTTCAACATTGAAAAGAAATAATGCCAACCACAAAAGCTAAATTTTAAAAGGAGAAGAATTTAGAAAAATAAAAGTCAAAGCAAGTTTGACTAGCTCACTGACAAATACTTAACAGTTCTGTTAACTCATAGATTAGAAAGCCTTGGGTCAGCTTGCATTCTTCTAGAGTAAATCAGTGCTAGAGGAGTTGCTCAGGAAAAGTTATTTCTTACATAATGGATTGTACCATTGATATTTTCCTGCAAGGCCTTTATAAAAGTTATTTGTTGTTGGAATGTTCTTAATGGAGAACTAGAAAGTATACTATCAATTTATCTGGAGCAGCAAAACAGCAACAGTTAAAAAAAGAAAAATATAAAATCGATAATATTACTGAAAACTCAAGATTTTTTATAACTTACAGAAGTATAATTTTAAGAACATTTCAATTCTTAAAATGCCCTTTCTTAAGACCATCTGTCTTCTATAATACATACTAAGAATTTGTTATTCGAGAGAAATGTTTTGAACATGTCAACCTGCTGTATAACAACAAAAATGTATACTACCCGGCCATGTTCTGATCCAATTTTCTAATCCTGTAGTATTTTATATAACCTTGGACAATAACAATGCCTGTGCTCTGACTTTGTAACAAAATAACGTAGGTTTAAGAGGAAGGAATCATGCACTTTAGTAGGAGAGGAAGACAGTGGAGGGAAGACAGACTTGGGTGTTGATAACAATTGTTTCAGAGAGAAGTTTGGAAACGAAATATAAATCTATGCTTTATAGAAATAGCTATATATAGAATGAATGTGTGATGTTTTCTCTCACATTAAAGATAACTTGTTATCTGTTACTAGATACCAAAGTTTGGTAAAACACAAATAATTAGAGGCAAAATTCTCCAAATATCTGAAATACTAGAAGATAATTTTTGATCCACAAATATGATTTTGGAGGTATTAAATACTTAAAAATTGCTTTAGATTCCAAAGCGAATATAGTTAAATGAAAAAAATCAATATTCTAGATATTTATACAATAAACAGATAACTTAATAAAACAGCACACAATCAACCATGCTCAAAGGAAATGAAAAAAGGGAGAGAGGGAAGAAAAGAGTTAACAATTATAATTAAATATCAAATCCATATATAACTTATTTAAGGAAAAATATTAATTTTTGTTCATCATTGATTTAAATATGTAAAAATAGACAGTACTTATCCTCACAGAGAGTATTTAGTGGAGAAGATGGTCTAAATGTTATGAATGAGTATAACATGAGCAAGAACACTTTCTATTGATTAGTAATGCCTTGGTTGAAGAGGAGAAATTAAATATGATGCCTGATTAGGATTTAACGGTTGACCAGAGAATAAAGTGGCAAAAGAGGGTTGAGCATGTTTGAAGACCTCAAGGGAAGGCACTAGAAGTACAGTAGTGTGAGCCAAAAGAAAATAAATGCAAAATAAGACTCGTGAATTTATTTATAAGCCGCAGTGATAACTGAATCTATATAATAAATGAGTTGAAAAGCTATCAGAGATGTTTAGTGAATGGGTGTGGTGGTGCATATCTGTAATCCTATCACTGGGGAGGATGAGGCAAAAGAATCACAAGTTAGAGGCCAAACAGGGCTAGTGTAAAATATTAATAGATATTAGTTTGATGACTTATGACAGAGAAAAATCTAAGTGTTTGGCTCCCAGTTATTATTTTAATCCTAATCAGGCATCATATTTAACTTAATTTAATTTCTCTGAAATAATTGTTATCAACACCCAAGTCTGTCTTCTCTCCACTGTCTTCCTCTCCTACTAAAGTGCATGATTCCTCCCTCTTAAACCTAGGTTATTTTGTTACAAGTCAGAGCACAGGCATTGTTATTGTTCAAGGTCATATAAAATACTACAGGATTAGAAAATAGGATCAGAACATGGCTGCGTAGTATACATTTTTGTTGTTATACAGCAGTTTGACATGTTCAAAACACTTTTCTCGAATAACAAATTCTTAGTATGTATTACAGAAAACAGATGGTCATAAGCAAGGGCATTTTAAGAACCTAAATATTCTTAAAATTATACTCTATAAATCACCTGAGCTATATTGTAAGATCCTCAAAAAACACACAAACAAAAAACCTCAATGTTTAGACATAAGAGTGATGTCATTTAAAATGATTATTTAAAAGTTTAAATATATTCACATGACACAAAGAGCAAATTAAAGGAGGTCAAGTGGAAGAATTTAAGAATTGTGGTTGTCCAGGCAGAAAAAAACTGGCAAAATGGGGGGATATTGGTGGATATTGAGAGATATGAGTAAATTTGAAATAGATAATTTTCTCTGACATAACATTTGTTTTATTGTCCAAACATCTCCCAGTATTTTTCAATAGAGATGAAGCTGGTTTGGATTCTTATTACTCTGTCATATTACTATTTTTGTTTGTGTGCATATTTTCCCCTTCTATAGTAGCTAACAAAGGAGGAATACATTATTCTGGAAGAACTATACCAAATCCTTGTGTTGGTCAAACTTTGTTGAAATATCTGCCTTCCATAGCAAGTTTTCAAAAAGCATATCTCACTCATGTAGTCAAATTATGTTCCTATAACAGGATCATATTTTTTCTTGTTTCTACCCAATTAGGCAACTTGATGAGGACTTCTATACTCACGTCCATCTAGGGCTATCCTAACATTATACATTCCTTTCTTCATCTTATTAGATCCTGTTAGAAATGGAAGTACCTGTTGAAGAAAAGTGCTTGCTAAAAGTTCACAGCAAAGATGAGGGAGCAATGAAAAAGGTGTTCAGTTTTACGTATTGGAGCAACTTTGTAGACTACAGTGACTTTACAGAAATAAAGACTGGGAGCTAAGGGAAAAACTAAATTGTATATTAATAGGGTAATCAATAGCCCCATCTTCTACAAATGTATTTTGAAGAAAGTATCAATCAGACATTCATCTGGAATTCAAGTGGGATATTTGAACTAAGCATATAAACAATATTCATGAAAATAAAGATAATATGTGTATATAAAGATAGTTCTTGTCTATCAAGAAGATTTCCTTATACCCCTCTCTCCTCAAATTGTTTCACCAAATTGATAACCCTTACACTTCTCGAGATGGAGAATTTTTTGTTGTTTAAACCACTTTGCTAGGGTGTGATTGACATAAAAAACCTAAATATATTTAATGATTCAACTTAATGAATAGAGAAAAGTATATACCCATGAGATCGTTACCATAGTCAAGGTCATAAACTTATCTATCACCTGCCAAATTTTCTTCTGCTCTCTTTAACTTTTTCCTTTTGCAATAGCAATGCTTAATGTAATCTACTCTCTTACCAATTTTTAAGTGTATAATATAGTACAATATGGGCCCTATATTGTATAAAATATCTCATCTTTCATAACTGAAATCTTTATACCTTGAACATTGCCTCTCCATCCTCCACTCCCACTTTAGCACTCAAAACTAATATTCTACTTTCTGATTTTATGAGTTTTAGTATTTTAGATTCTAGAGAATGTAAGACAGAATTTGCAAACCATCTATGTGGTAGATTTGCAAACCATCTATATGGTAGACTCAATTGAAAAAAATTAAAAATAGGTGAAGGACTTGAATAAATGTTCCTTAAAACAGGACATACAAATGGCTTTCATACAAGTGTATGAAGAGGTGCTCAAAATCACTAATCATCAGGGAAATGTAAATAGAAACCACAATGAGATATCACTTACCCTGTTAGGATGGCTATTATCAAAACACAAGAAGAAAAAAGGATAAGTCTTGGCAAGGATACAAAGGAAAGGGAACACTTTTATGTTATTGGAGGGAATATAAATTGGTGCAGCCACTATGGAGGCTCCTTATAAATTAAAAATAGAATGGAATTCATGGCATATATTAAAAAGAATTAAAATCAGAATCTCAGAGACATATACACTAGTGTGTTTACTACAGTGTTACTTAATTTGACCAAGATATGGGGATAGCCTAATGCCTATAAAAACATGGATAAAGAAAATGTGGTATACACATATATTATCCTGCCTTTTAAAAGAAGTCTTGTTATTCAAAACAAAATGAATGACTAAAAGATGTTAGGAAAAATGAAATAAGCCAAACACAAAAGGACAAATAAGAGAAGGTGCTCTAGAATCCGATTGCCTCTGTTTAAATATTGTTCCAACCATAAACTAGTTATGTGATTCTGGAACAGTT